GGTTGGGAGTAGGACTAGGTTACTAAGCGACCGTTGGGAGTAGGACTAGGTTACTAAGCGACCGGTGGGGAGTTAGGACTAGGCTACTAAGCGACCGTCGGGAGTGGGACTAGGTTCAAGGCGACCGGTCGGGAGTGGGACTGGGTTTTACTTAAGCGACCGGTCGGGAGTAGGACTGGGTTACTAACGACCGGGTTGGGAGTACCCTAGGTTCTAAGCGACCGGTGGGGGAAAGCCCTAGTTACTAACGACCGGTGGGCGTGGCCGCGGTTACTAAGCGACCGGTCCGGGAGTAGGCCCTAGGTTAACTGATCGACCGGTTGGGAGTAGGACTAGGGTTACTAAGCCACCGGTTTGGGAGTAGGACTAGGTTACTAAGCGACCGGTCCGGGGTAGACTAGGTTACTAAGCGACCGGTCGGGAGTAGGACTAGGTTACTAACGACCGGTCGGGAGTAGGACTAGGTTACTAAGCCACCGTCGGGAGTAGGACTAGGTTACTAAGCGACCGTTCGGGAGTATGACTAGTTACTAACGACCGGTCGGGAGTAGGACTAGGTTTACTAAGCGACCGGTTGGGAGTAGGACTAGGTTACTAGCGACCGGTTGGGAGTAGGACTAGGTTACTAAGCGACCGGTTGGGAGTAGGACTAGGTTACTAAGCGACCGGTTTGGGATAGGACTAGGTTTACTAAGCGACCGTTCGGGAGTAGGACTAGGTTACTAAGCGACAGGTCGGGAGTAGGACTAGGTTACTAACGCCCGGGTCGGGAGTAGGACTAGGTTACAAAGCGACCGGTCGGAGTAGGACTAGGTTACAAAGCGACCGGTCGGGAGTAGACTAGGTTACTAAGGCGACCGGTCGGGAGTAGGACTAGGTTACTAAGCGACCGTTGGGAGTAGGACTAGTTACAAAGCGACTGGTCGGGAGAAGCCCTAGTTACAAACGACCGGTCGGGAGAAGCCCTGGGTTTACTAACGACCGGTTGGGAGTGGACTGGGTTTACTAGCGACCGGTGGGAGTGGGACTGGGTTTCTAACCCCGGGTTGGGAGTAGGACTAGGTTACTAAGCCACCGGTCGGAGTAGGACTAGGTTACTAAGCCCACCGGTCGGGAGTAGGACTAGGTTACTAAGCGCCCGGGTTGGGAGTAGGACTAGGTTACTAAGCGACCGGTCGGGAGTAGGACTAGGTTACTAAGCGACCGGTCAGGAGTAGGACTAGGTTACTAAGCGACCGGTTGGGAGTGGGACAGGTTACTAAGCGACCGTTGGGAGTAGGACTGGGTTTTACTAAGCGACCGTTCGGAGTAGGCCTAGTTACTAAGCGCCCGGTTGGGAGTAGGACTGGGTTTTACTAACGACCGTTGGAGTAGGACTAGGTTACTAAGCGACCGGTCGGGAGTAGGACTAGGCTACAACGACCGGTCGGGAGTAGGACTAGGTTACTAAGCGCCGGTCGGGAGTAGGACTGGGTTACTAAGCGACCGGTCGGGAGTAGGACTAGGTTACAAGCGACCGGGTTTGGGATAGGATAGGTTACTAAGCCACCGTTGGGATAGGACTAGGTTACTAACGCCCCCGGTCGGAGAAAGGACAGGTTACTAAGCCAACCGGTTAGGAGTAGGACTATTTACTAAGCCACCGGTTGGGAGTAGGACTAGGTTACAAAGGCACCGGTCGGGAGTAGACTAGGTACTAACCCCCGGGTTTTGGGAGTAGGACTAGTTACTAAGCGCCGGTTGGGAGTAGGACTAGGTTACTAAGCGACCGGTTGGGAGTAGGACTAGGTTACTAAGCGACCGGTTGGGAGTAGGACTAGGTTACTAAGCGACGTTGGGAGTAGGACTAGGTTACTAAGCGACCGGTCGGGAGTAGGACTAGGTTATAACGACCGGTTGGGAGTAGGACTAGTTACTAAGCGACCGGTTGGGAGTAGGCCTAGTTACTAAGCTACCGGTCGGGATAGGACTAGGTTACTAAGCGACCGGTTGGGAGTAGGACTAGGTTACTAAGCGACCGGTTGGGAGTAGGACCTAGGTTACTAAGCGACGGTCGGGAGTAGGGACTAGGTTACTAAGCGACCGGTTGGGGAGTAGGACTAGGTTACTAAGCGACCGGTTGGGGAGTAGGACTAGGTTACTAAGCGATCCGGTTGGGAGTAGGACTAGGTTACTAAGCCACCGGTTGGGAGTAGGACTAGGTTACTAAGCGACCGGTCGGGAGTAGGACTAGGTTACTAAGCGACCGGTTGGGAGTAGGACTAGGTTACTAAGCACCGGTCGGGAGTAGGACTAGGTTCTTAACGACCGGTCGGGAGTAGGACTAGGTTACTAAGCGCCCGGGTTGGGAGTAGGACTAGGTTACTAAGCCACCGGGTTGGGAGTAGGACTAGGTTACTAAGCGACCGGTCGGGAGTAGGAACTAGGTTACTAAGCGACCGGTCGGAGTAGGACTAGGTTACTAAGCCACCCGGTCGGGAGTAGGACTAGTTACAAAGCG